TCAACACCACCACAACAACACAACTCCACTACCACATCATACCACTACAACACCACCACCACCACCATCAAACGCAAATACAACACCACAACTTCACAATCAATACAACACCACAACAACAGCACTACAACACCACAACAACAGCACCACCACCACAATCATCAAAACGCAACTACAACACCACAACTTCACAATCACTACAACAGCTCCACCACACCACTACAACACCATATCACTACACCACAACATAACACCACAATACCACAACACCGCCTGGGACCTTCTGACTTCATTACAGACCAGCAAAATTAAATTAGCTCGTCTTCCTCCATCAGCTAGTCTGGGGATTTACCGCCTCAACACCTCACAGACGAGAGATAAAGAGACCGTGAGAGATAAGGAGACCGTGAGATAAAAACGTTAGAGAAAGGGACTGTGGGGAGATAAAAACACGATAAAGAGACCGAGAGAGATAAAGACGCGAGAGATAAGGAGACTGTGAGAGATAAAGAGACTGTGAGGGAGATAAAGAGACTGTGGGGGAGATAAAGACTGTGGGGAGATAGAGACTGTGGGGAGATGAAGACTGTGGGGAAGAGACTTAATGAAGGGAGATAGAGACTGTGGAGAAGAGAAGACACAATGGGGGAGAGAGAGAGACTGTGGGGAGAAGAGGGGCTGTGTGGGGGAGAGAGAGACTGTGGGGCGATGAAGACTGTGTGGGGAGAGAAGAGAGAGACTTTGTGGGGAGATGGGGAACTGTGGGGAGATGGGGCTGTGGGAGATAGAGACTGTGGGGGAGATAGAGAGACTGTGGAGGAGATAGAGAGAGACTGTGGGGGAGATAGAAACCGTCTCCTCTTCCCTCCTTTCTCTTTTACTACTTTTCCTCTCCCTTCCCTATCCCCTACTGCGGTTTCCCCTCTTCACACTTCCCGCATCCTCCCCTCTTACCCTTTCCTTCTTCCATTCTTTCTCCTCTTCCCTTCCCTCTTCCATCCTCCCTCTCCTCTTTTTATGATCCCCCTTGTCTTCCCCCTTCTTCCCTCCCTCTCCATCATTCCTCTCTCTCTCTCTCGTTTTCCTAATCCTTCTCCCTCTCTCTTTTATATATATTTTCCTTTCTCCCAGTTCATCCTTTCAATTCCTGTTTGCCCACTATTTCTTCTTTTACCTTCTCTCACCCTTTTTTTTCCTTCCTTCCTTCCTTCCTTCCTTCCTTCCTTCCTTCCTTCCGACCTCCGTCTCTTCCCCCTTCCTCCCTTCTTTCCATCTTTCCTCCCCTTCTTACCACCTATCCCTCTTCCCCCTTCGTTCCCTTCTCCCTTCCTTGCACATTTCTCTCCTTAATTACCAGATCCTTTGGCACCTACCTCTCTTCCCCTTCCTTCCTTTCTCCCTTCTTTCATTCCTCCCTATCTCCCTTCCCTCTTCACCCCAGCCACAGGTAAATACGACAAAATCAGGTGATGTCTCAGGTAACTTATTATGCACATTAATTATATCAATGGTCAGCTTTACATAAAAGACGTGATTATAGAGTCAATAAAGATGGCCTTAAGAGCATATATAGTTGACTCCATGATTAAGTGAGTGCATTTGTTACGTGTGTGTGTGTTTATTCACCATTTCTCATCAATAACACATCCTCTCTTCCCCCCCCCCACTGTCCGATAGGAAAAGCTTATATTAACATAGTAGCCACCTGCATGACCAATGATAAGCGTCTTTTTTTCTTTTTTACATGATTAGCCCACCAGGGCACAGGTCAATGACCCACACGGGATTTGACCTTGTAACAACAACAACAACAACAACAACAACAACCTTAGCAACATAGCAACAACAACAACAACAACAACAACAACAACAAGCAACAACAACAATAGCAACAGCAACAGCAACAACAACGCCCAACAACAGCAACCAACGGCAACGCAACATAACAACAACAACAACAATAATATGTAGCAACAACAACAACAACAACAACAACAACAACAACAACATAGCAACAACAACAACAACAACAACAACAACCAACCTTGACAACAACAACAACCCAACAGCAACAACAACAGCAACAACAGCAACAGCAGCAAGCAACAACAGCAAGCAAGCAACCAACAGCAAGCAAGCAACAACAACCAACAACAACAACAGCAAGCAACAACAGCAAGCAACAACAACAACAACAACCAACAGCAACAACAGCAACAGCAACCAGCAACAGCAAGCAACAACAACCAACAGCAACCAGCAACAGCAGCAGCAACAACCAGCAACAACAACAACAACAGCAACAACAACAACAAGCAACAACAACAACAACCAACAAGCAGCAACAGCAGCAACCAACGACAACCAACAACGACTGTGACAACTGACAATGACAGCAACAGCAACAGCTAACCAACAGCAACAACAACAGCAACCAACAACAACAACAACAACAACAACAACCAGCAACAGCAACAACCAACGACGGCAGCAACAACAACAACAACCAGCAACAACAACCAGCAACAACAATAGCAGCAACAACAACAGCAACAACAACAACAGCAACAGCAACAGCAACAACAACTAAAAGTTAACAAAATTTCAAAAAATATTAAATACTAATAATAATAATAATGGTCCACCAAATAAATACAAAAAAATCAATAGTGAGAAACGATATATATATATATATATATATATATATATATATATATATATATATATATATATATATATATATATATATATATATATATATATATATATATATATATAAATATATATAGTTGTCAAAATAACAAACAATTGAGACCCTGTAATTGTGTGTAAATGAGGCAGAAAGTCAGATCAGCAACCTGGGACTTGGTCACAATTTTCGTGATGCCATATGGCAGCAGGGTCTACCATTAGACAACACATTATGCTTCCAGTATCTTTCCGGGCGGTAGTACCTCCCTGTTTGACAGCTGCCTACTACGTCATCGATATTCTCCTCAAATACTTCTCTGATTGGTGAATCGTTTTACGTGTCAACTAAACCTACAGCTTCACGAAAATTAATTCCAGTTAATTTACCACACGAATACAACCTTCGTTCTCAGTGTAAAGGATGTTAAAGTATTCATTGAGTAACTACTTTAAGATACTTATGGAAGTAATTTAATAACTGTAGGTAACGAGAATGTAACGATCCATCTGACCAATATTAAAATATCATTATTCCCTAACAGTTGCCTCAGTAAGATAGCTATCAAATCAGGTAAACTAAGAAGGTGCTGCCATCTAGTGGGTTATTCTCTAACTATTATATTATATACATTAAACCATTTCAGCCATTAATGACTTTCAACCTGAAGTCTGAGGTAGAGAAACTAATTGATACATCTCACTAACTTAAATAATTTCACAGAAAAGCCTTGAAAAAGGACTCAATCTTAATTCATTACAAATAATATTTATTAACCATAAGTTCATGGTTATGTTTATCAACACACATTCATTAGTTATATTCATCTAGAAATATAATAAATCACATTCAATGCTGTCTATATCAAGCTAATGTCTTGTACTTGTTAATATTCATTGTCTACTCATGCCTCTAAGTTCATTGTTTACGGTGCTTCCAATTCATTATTTTCTGCACTTATGAATATTACTGCAGAGAGAGAGAGAGATATGGAAGATAATGTACAAACCTTTTCTTCCAGGTAGTCCGCCTGAAGTAGAAGCAGTACAATGGTGTATACTGTATATGTTTCACTTCAGCCAGTTGTCTACGGAATAGACTTAACGAACTGTGAAAGACGTCGTGTGTTGGTAGAGTGAAGATCTCTCTCTCTCTCTCTCTCTCTCTCTCTCTCTCTCTCTCTCTCTCTCTCTCTCTCTCTCTCTCTCTCTCTCTCTCTCTCTCTCTCTCTCTCTCTCTCTCTCTCTCTCTCTCTCTCTCTCTCTCTCTCTCTCTCTCTCTCTCTCTCTCTCTCTCTCTCTCTCCACCCCCGCGTCCATCTCTGTGTTTATTCAGCGTCAAATGTCAAAGCTCCACGGCTGTACACCCCAGCCCCCAGACACCCTATCATAGCCCCACCATCCCCAGCTATCAGCCATTCTATCCCAGTCCCCTAGCCCCACAAAACACCTTATCGCAGAACCCCAAACCCCCAGCCTTGAAGCATACTCTACAACAACTTTCAGCCCTCATGAACAAATTAACTCAGCCCTCGGACCTCAGGTACATTTTACATTAGCCCCAACCCTCTAGTACATTCGACCTCAGTCCCCACCCCTCAAGCACACTCAATAACAGTCCCCAACCCTCAGGCACACTCGAAAACAGCCCCCAACCTTTAAGATACTCCATCCCCAAGCCATCGGACAACTCACCCCAGCCCGCTTTCTTTAGTCATACAATGCTTCAGACCTTAAGAGAGAAATGAGAGAGAGAGAGAGAGAGAGAGAGAAAACGAAAAAAGGGGACAAACAGAAGAACGAGGGATAAGAAAACATCAGAGACAAACGGGAAAGAGAGAAAAGAGAGAGGGAGAGAATCAGAAATCCTCAAGGTAAGATATACTGTACATTATAGTTGTAGTCGGGGGAAAATATCGCCTTTTACTGAGTCTTGATGTTTGCTGTTTTTAGCGGTATCCCACTGCTTCTACAGTCGCTGAGCTGACGCTGCCTCTTGCTGTGATGACGCTGCCTCTTGCTGTGATGATGCTGCTTCTTACTTAACTAACACTGCCTCTTGCTGTAGTATCACTGTCTCTTGGAAGTGCTCATACTGTCTATTGCTGTGCTAACACTGCCTCTTACTGCGCTAATGCTGCTTCTTGCTGTGTTTGCGCTGCCCCTTATTGTGTTGACGCTGCCTCTTGCTGTGCTAACGCTGCTTCTTGCTGCGTTGACACTCTCTAACTGTGCTAATGCTGCTTTTTGCTGTGTTGGCGCTGCTTCTTAGTGATGACGCAACTTCTTACTGTGTTGATGATGCCTCTTACTGTGCTGACGCGGCTTCTGGCTGTATTGACGATACCTTTACTGTGTTGATGCTGCCTCTTGCTGTGTTGATGCTGCCTCTTACTGTGTTGATGCTGCCTCTTGCTGTGTTGATGCTGCCTCTTACTGTGTTGATGCTGCCTCTTACTGTGTTGATGCTGCCTCTTGCTGTGTTGATGCTGCCTCTTGCTGTGTTGATGCTGCCTCTTGCTGTGTTGATGCTGCCTCTTGCTGTGTTGATGCTGCCTCTTGCTGTGTTGATGCTACTTCTTGCTGTGTTGATGCTACTTCTTGATGTGTTGATGCTGCCTTTTACTGTGTTGATGCTGCCTCTTGCTGCGTTGATGCTGCCTCTTACTTTTATACCGTTCTTATCTTATTTTGTTATAATGATGCAATTCCTCCGTTATTTTAACGATGTTATTGATGCTGTTCTCTTTTACCTCAACATTTACCATTAAAGATTCTACCACCACCATCACTAACACCATCACCAAGTAGATTACAAGCAGATCACCACACAGGTCACTATCACCACATCACCACTAAGGTCAACTACCACCACCAAGGACAACCAAAATCACCAGCATCATCACCACCAAGGGCAACCACAACCACCACCACCATTAAAGAGAACCATCACCACCACGAAGAACAGCCACCCCTAGCACCATCACCACAACCACCGCCATCACCACGAGTTCCAACAACAACCATCTCACCACCACCACAACAACTAGACCACCACTACCACCATCACCACCACAACCACCATCACCACCACTAGGAACAACAACAATCACCACCACACTAGTAGACACGGGTACGACCAGTTGACAATAAGCCATACACAAGCGGACGTCGGGCAGCAATTACCTTCAATAGGCGAATGAGTTAAGACCAATCCTGGCCTGGTGACCTCTCAGGCTCCACGGTGACTGATGGTGACCAAGACATTGATGGTGACCGAGAGCTGTTGGTGACCGAGCTGTTGGTGACCGAGTAGTGGTGACCGAGGCTAATGGTGACCGGGGCTGATTGATGGCGACCGAGGAACTAAAGGTGACCGAAGGAATAATGGTGACTGATGGAATGATTTTAACCGGGAATTAATGGTGACTGAGGAACTGACTGATGGTGACGGGGACCGTTGGGTGAAAGGCCTATTGAGGGGTTGAAGAGTAGGGTGATGGGGTCTCTTGGTGCACAGTGGTCTAGTGATCTGCTTGTAATCTACTTGTGATGTGTGGTAACCTATTTGGTGACCTTCTTGTGACTACTTGGTGACCTGCTTGTTATCTACCTTGGTGATCTACTTGGTGACCTGTGGTGACCTGCTTGTGATCTACTTGACCTGTGTATTACCTACATGGTGACCTGCTTGTGATCTATGGTGACCTGTGTGGTGACCTGCTTGTAATCTACTTGGTGACCTGTGTGGTGACCTGATTGTGATCTAATTGGTGACCTGTGTGGTGACCTGCTTGTGATCTACTTGGGATCAGCTTGTGAGCTGCTCTGTGACCAGCATATTATTATTTTGAATAAAACCACAGTTTAAAAGTTTAAGATAACACGACCACAATTAAACGTTTCAAGATAACGACCACAAATTAAACATTTCAAAATAACACGACCACAATAAACATTTCAAATAACGACCATAGATTAAACGTTTCAAGATAACACGACCACAGATTAAATGTTTAAGATAACACGACCACAAATTAAACGTTTAAAATAACACGACAGATTAAATGTTTCAAAATAACACGACCACATATTAAACGTTTCAAGATAACACGACCACAGATTAAACGTCAGTGATAAATGACTGACATACGAGAAAATAGTCAATATACTCCTAACACAACGTTATGAGCGTGTATATTTGGAAGCCTAATATATGACCCTGATATATTAAGCTGAAGAGGTTCCTCCTCCCAGGGTTCGATGGTGGATAGTGGTAAATAATAGTGGATTGTGGCAAGTTGTGGTAGATGTGGTGGTGAAAGGTTGTGGAGTGGTGGTAGATAGGAGTGGTTGGTGGTAGATGATAGTGGTTTGTGATGGTTTTAAGTGGATGGTGGTGGATTGTGATGGTTTGTAAGTAGATGGTGGTGGATTGTGGTGGATGATGGTAGATGGTAGTTGATTGTGGTAGTTGGTAGAAGATGGTGGTAGCTAAGGTAACGGTGGTTTGGCTCAGCATCTGCGTGGGTATCAACAAAGAAAAGATTGAAATAGGCGAAAAAGTGTGTGGACGCGTTAAAACCTACGCACAGTCATCCTACAGTCCTCTACTCACCCTACAGTCACTCTAAGACACTCTACTCACCCTACAGTCATCCTACACACCTCATGGACAGCAGCTAAATCAGATTAAAACTGAGGAGCAATTAGGAGCCGAAATCTATATTCCACTTCAAAAGGTTATTTCTACGCATTATTATCTCTATCTCCTGTGCATGCAGGCATGGATCTCTCTCTCTCTCTCTCTCTCTCTCTCTCTCTTTCTCTCTCTCTCTCTCTTTCCCTCAACTCAGGGACCAGCGGACCAACTAAGCCCTTTGGTTACGGTATAAATTATTCTTCATCATCGGGTCTTTATTCACTAAAACCTCATATAACGACGTATAGCTGGACCCGGCCTGAGGCTCAGCGAGGAGAGGGAGGGTGGGGGGAGGAGGGAGAGAGGGAGGGAGGAGGAAGGAGGGAGGAGAAGGAGGGATGAGATAGAAGGGGAGGGAGGAGGAGGAGATGGGATAGGGGGGAGGGAGAGGAAGGAAGGAGGAGGGACGAGAAAGGAAGCGGGGAGGGGGAGAAAAGAAGGATGAAGAGGGTAAAAGAGAGAAGACAGAAAGATAGAAAAGGATGGAGGAACAGAAGTCTGCGAGGGAGAAAGGAAGGATGATAGGAGAGGAGGCGGGGTGAAAGAGCAGGGTGAAAAAAAGGAGAAAAGGATGGGAGAGGAGAGGTCTGGGTGAAGGGTAAGATGGGAGGGTAGAAGGGAAAGGCCATTTCATAGGGGGTGGAATGAGTGGAGGCAACTGTGGTGGCGGGAGGGCCAATTGTGGTGGAGGGCAATGGAAATAGAATAAACATGTGGTGGAGAGTAGGAATGAGGGAGGAAAAAGTCAGAGTGGGGAGAGAGAGAAGTGGAGGGAGGTAGGAGTAACATGCCGTGTGAAGGGAAGTCGTAACAGCAGGGAGGGCTGGAGGCATCAGAGAGAATGGTGTTGCCTGCCTGCCTCCCCCGGTCCGTTCCTCCTCCCACTCCATTCCTCCTCATCCTTCCTCCCCAATCTGTCTCCTCATCTGTCTACACTTCCTATTCTCCTACGCCAAGACAAAAATTAAGAGAGACATGGAAAATTTTGGAAGATATAGAAGAGACGAAATTAATGGTAACACAATGAAACTGAAAAATTATAATTATGATCTAGACACGAGATTTTTCTTAAATGTTATAGCGATAATTATAAGTTATAGCCAAGTCCATAAAATTGCAGCCAAGTTTATAAAAGGGTACAGCGACAAGTACAGCCAAGTTTATAAGGTACAGCCATAAAATTACAGCCAAGTTTATAAGTGCAGCCAAGTTTATAAAATTGCAATATAAGAATTACAGCCAAGTTTATAAGAAATTGCAGCCATAAGATATAGCCAAGTTTATAAAATTGCAACCATAAGGCACAATACATAAAAAGATATAGCCAAGTTTATAAAATTGCAATATAAGGTACAGATAAAATTACAACCATAAAGATATAGCTAAATTTATAAGGTACAGCCATAAGATAGCCAAGTTTATAAGGTACAGCCATAAGAGTACAGCCAAGTTTATAAGAGTACAACCATACAGTACAATAAATCCATAAGGTTAATTTTTCCTTGTTTAGTGTAGTAACTGTATGATGACCAGCCATGCCACAGCGGTAACCTTCAGTCACTGCCTTATGAAATATCTATACCACTTAAGGTCTTACAAAAACATTATAAAACTTACGACAGGGCTACAGAGGTCCGAAGTAATCTCCCGCCAGGCGATCACTACCGCCCGCTGTGGCACAGAGAGAGAGAGAGGAAGAACAAGTGTATACATACATACATCCCACGTAGGTGTGTGTGTGTGTGTGTACAGACATGGGTTGTATGTTTACGTCAGCATGTCTGTTCTTGTAGATGTGGAAGTGTAAGTCATGACACGTCCCAAGGTCATAGCCTCGTCCTACCAAGGTCATGACCTCGTCCTACAAAGGTCACCTCGTCCTACAAGTCATAACCCACACGTCCTATGGTAATGTCCAACACACACACACACACACACACACACACACACACACACACACACACACACACACACACCACACACACACACACACACACACACACACACACACACACACACACACCCACACACACACACACACACACACCCACACACACACACAGCCTTCATACAAGTGTGTGCAGTGTTGGAAATTTTCAGAGCTTGTCGTGTGTTTCCCCCTCCCTCACCTCCCTCCCCAGTAAGAGTGAGATCAATAAGGGAAGGAAGAAGGGAGGGAAGGAGGGGGAGAGAGAGGAGAGAGACTCGTGGGAAGGAGAAAAGAGGGAGGAAAAGAAGTTTGGTACAGGTATGATCAAACAAAGGTGAGAAGGGTGGAGGAAGGGTGAGAAGGGAGGAGGAAGGGGTGGGAAGGGAGGGAGGAAGGGTGGGAAGGGAAGGAAGGAAGATGGGAAGGAAGGAGGAAGGAGTGGGAAGGAAAGGGAGGAAGGGTGGGAAAAGGAAGGAGGAAGAATTGGGGAAGGAAGGAGGAAAAGGAAAGGAGGAGGAAGGATTAAGAAAGGAAGGAGGAAGAATTGGGAAGGAAGGAGGAAAGATGGGAAAGGAAAGATTGGAGGAGGAGGAGGGTGGGAAAGGAAGGAGGAAGGAGTGGGGAAGGAAGGAGGAAAGGTGGGAAGGAAGGAAGGGAGGAAGAAAAGGAAGGAGGAAGAGGTTGGAAGGAAGGAGGGAAGGTGGAAAGGAAGGAGGAAGGGTGGAAAGGGAAGGAGGAGGGTGGGGAAGGAAAGGAGGAAGGGGTGGGAAAGGGAAGGGAGGAAGGGTGGGAGAGGGTAAAGGTGTGGGAAGGAAGGAGGGAGGGTGGAAGGGAGGGGGAGGTGTGTGGGAGAAGGGGGTGTTAGGAGGGGAGGGAGTGGAAAGGGAAGGAGGGGAGGGTTGGAAGGGTAGTGGGAAGGAAAGGAGTTTGGGAAGGGAAGGGGGGTGTGGGGAAGGGGAAGGGAGTGTGGGGAAGGGGAGGAGGGAGTGTGGGGAAGGGGGGGAAAGGGGGTGGGGGAAGGGGGTGTGGGAAGGGAGGGAGGGGTGTGGGAAGGAGGAGGGAGTGTAGGAAGGAGGAGAGTGTGGGAAGGGAGGAGGAGGGACTGTGGGAGAGAGGAGGAATGTGAAAAGGGTGAATGGAGTATGGAGAGGGAAAGAAGGAATTGTGGGAAGGATGGAAAGCAGAGAGGGAGAGGGTGAAATGAAATAAGTTAGAGAGAAGTGAAAGAGGTAGAGTGGGATAGGAGGAGAAAAATTAGTAAAATGAAGGAGAAAAAAGATGGAGAAAAGGAGAGCTGAAAGACGAAGAGAGGGGAGAGGCAGAAAGGGAAGAAGAAGTGAGGAGGTATGTGGATGGGATGGAGGGAGGAAAGGAGGGAGAAAGGGAAAAATTTAATGAGAGAAAAAGGAAAAAGACAAGATGATAGAATGAATGAACTACAAAAAAGGAAAAATAGAGGAAAGGAAGGAGAGAGAGGAAGGCATTAGAAACC